AGAACAAGGAACCCAAGAGAAATTATAAAAGAAAGAATATAAATAAATTTCTCACAGTTATCAAGGTAAGGTAATTTACCAACTGCTGAGAGAGACGAAACATGAAAGACTTGCACTTAGGTATGTCATTGCGCAGTTTCAAAATTCCAAAGCTAAAGACAATATACAACAAACTTCTAGAGAGAAGTAAAAAACATTGTCTTCAAAAGAAAAAAGATACTTATTGCTAGAAATATTCTCTTTTGAGAGGCATGAGGTTATACACTGGAAAACCATCAAGAAAGAAATACAATCATCCCATAATACTAGCTTTATGGTAAGCAAAACTTACTAGAAATAACTTGTCTGAAGTTTGGGTTTTCAAAAAAATCACAGAAGACAATTAGTCTTACTGAGCAGAGTGCAATTATCGGTCTTGACAATGTCAAATGAAGACAAGTTGGGAGGTGGAATGTGGAAGGAAATATGATGGGAAGGGTGAAGCTAGGAACATCCTCATCTTAAAAGGTGGGAGTCAAGAGATAGTGTCAATAATAGATGGAACAAGAAACACAGATTGAAATAAAATAAATAAATTAAAAAAAAAATAAAGCTCCTTATGCTTCTAGGCTAAGGAGTTTCAAAGCACCCTCATTCCAGCCATTATTCAGGCAAGAACTCCATAAATTCACCTATTGTCATGTAAAGTTCTGAAACATGAGAGAGTTCCTAAAATGCTTCTTTAACCCACTTGGAAGATGTTTTTATGCTTCATTTCCTATGTTTGGTTGACCTCTGCAAGTATTTACACCTTATCATGGTTGCAATATAGATATTATTAGCAGCTTAGATTTAGAACAATTAAAAAGGATGTTTAACGACACCATGTGAATTAAATGTCTACACCCAAGCAAATAACAGGTCCTTAGGACACATTCTGATGAGTAATTCTGGGTTGAGGCATACACACTTACAGTTGCCAATAGTTTGGCTGAAATGTGTTGCTCAACATTTTACTAAGGCCAGTCTTCAGCCACTTTACCCTATTAAAAATTCTGTCTCTATCTAGTTTAAATGTACAAAGAGTAGCAGTTTTTTTTTTTTTTTTCTTGAGACAGAGTCTCACTCTCAGCTAGAGTGCCGTGGCGTCAGCCTAGCTCACAGCAACCTCAAACTCCTGGGCTCAAGCCATCCTCCTGTCTCAGCCTCCCGGGTAGCTGGGACTACAGGCACGCACCACCACGCCCGGCTAGTTTTTTCTATCCATTTTTAGTTGTCCGATTAATTTCTTTCTATTTTTAGTAGAGACGGGGTCTCGCTCTTGCTCAGGCTGGCCTTAAACTTCTGAGCTCAAACAATCCACCCGCCTCGGCCTCCCAGAATGCTAGGATTACAGGCGTGAGCCACTGCGCCCGGACTTTTTTTTTTTTTTATGAAAAACACGGGGTGGGGGAAGAAAATTACATGTACTTTCACATCTGCCCCCAAACACTTTAAAGACAGGGAAAGGGGATACCAATGATTTAAGAGAACTTCTACAGGAAGACAGAGGTTCAGTTAGGAAACTTCAAGGGTTCTTTCTGTGCTACAATTCTATAAAAAGAGCCAAAGGCAAGGAAAAAAGATCCATTGACAAATTAAGCAGAGTGACAGAAAACTGAGCTTTAGTGGCTCATGCTTGTAATCCCAGCACTTTGGGAGGCTGAGGTGAGAAGATTGCTTGTGGCCAGGAGTTTCAGACCAGCTTGGGCAACATAATGAGACCCTGTCTCTACAAAAAATTTAAAAAATTAGCTGGGTGTGTTGGTATGCTCCTGTAGTGCTAGCTACTTGGGAGGCTGAGGCAGGAGGATCACTCAGCACAGAAGCTGGATGTTACAGTGAGCTATGATTGTACCACTGTACTTTAGCCTAGGTGAAAAGCGAGACCCTCTTGCTAAAAAAAGAGGAAAGAAAAATTTGAACTTGCAAGGACAGAATTGTATTAACTACATTTAGTTGATTCATTGTTTCTTATATCCGCTCTTATTTTCCCTTTCACAAATGATCCATTGTGCTATTCCTGGCCACTGCTTTATTACAAATAAAATCATCACAGCAAACAGAGGGTTAGAAGGATCTGAAAATCACTTTGTTTCCCTAATAATTTCTGACTTCTAAATAATGATAAATCCAGTTTTTCTAGCTATATGTTAAAACTAAAATAGGAAATTCATCTGAATATATTTAGGCTTACAAAAAACTTTATCCACAAAATACAGATACATTTATGTAAAAAAGTTAACTGTACCTTGAAATAATTTAGATTACATTGCTTTTTTTTTTAAATCTTTTTTCCCCTTTTTATTAGAGATGCAATCTGGCTTTGTGGCTATATTGCCCAGGCTGGACTTGAACTCTTGGTCTCAAGGGATCCTCCTACCTTTCTTTCTTTCTTTTTTTTTTTTTTTTTTGAGAAAGAGTCTCACTGTGTTGCCCAGGCTAGAGTGCCGTGGCATCATCCTAGCTCACAGCAACCTCAAACTCCTCCTGCGAGGAGGAGCAGGAGGGCTCAAGCAATCCTCCTGCCTCAGCCTCCCGAGTAGCTGGGACTACAGGCATGTGCCACCATGCCCGGCTAATTTTTTCTATATATTTTTAGTTGTCCGATTAATTGCTTTCTAATTTTAGTAGAAACGGGGTCTTGCTCTTGCTCAGGCTGGTTTCGAACTCCTGAGCTCAAACAATCCGCCCGCCTCGGCCTCCCAGAGAGCTAGGATTACAGGCACGAGCCACCGCGCCTGGCCCCTACCTTTATTTCTTGAGTAGCGGGGACTATAGGTGTGCACTACTGCTCTAGCCAGATTAGGCTTTCTGAGTTTGCTACATGGAGGGGTAATTCATTTACCTATGCAGATCCAATTCCACATAGGGAAAAATGAGTTTTTCTTTAATCAATTCCCAAATGATTCGTGTCATTTCATCTCCTTGCATCTCTACCACGGAACCACCACTGATTTTTTTGGACATTTTGACTTCAATAAACCTAAGAAGAAAAAAAGATAAAATATATGCCTTGTCATTTATTTCATTATAAAGTGGAAGTAAAATATAAACAATTTGGTGACTACTAAAAGAATAATTCATAATAGCATAATTGCATAAAAAGCTAGTTTAACAATTATATTTATCATTGAGCACTTTCCCTGTATAAAGCATTGTGTTATATGTTTCATAAGTGGTTTCTGAGTCAGCCCTCATAACAATCCTGTAAGAATTCATTTTCCCATTTTACCTTGTTAAAAAAAAAAAAAAAATAGCTTTCCCAAGGCCACCCAGCTGCAGCGTAAGGGAGCCTGACCCTGTAACAGGCCCTTAATAATGCGATCATCATTCTCTTATGAAATGAGATTATTTCCACACTATCATATTAATCTGAACACTTCTATTCAACTCCTCATTTTACTAGGCCCTCAAGATGACCAGAATGATGAGTGCTAGTATTTCCCCTCTTTTGAGAGGCTATTTTCATTAAAATAACTAGCCTTGGAGATTCAATTGGTTCTTGTGACTCATATTCAAGGAAACTTTAAGTTTAAAAGTGAAAGAGATGAAGAATTCCTGGTGGAACTATGTTTTCCTAGTTATAATACAGACACTGGAGACATGGGGATAAATATAAAAGTACTTTCTCAATTAGAGAAATCTATATAGAGGGGCTACAGCCCAGGATCCAAGCATGTCCCTGCCATGTTCTTTGGTATCCCAACTCCTGGACTGTTTCTCTGGTTGTTCACCAGCAAGGCTAAGCTGCTAGTGGGTGGGCTAGGAAAGCGGCATTGTTCTGGAAAGAGACATCGCATTAAGGAAACGGGGTGTGGGGGTAACAAATACCAATCAATCTGATTCCCAGAAAGGGTAAGAGTGGGTCTTTGGGAGAAGTGAAAGTGTGAGGCTTCAAAGAAGGCCATGTCCTGTGCTTGTTCCCCAGAGACAGAGGAAGCCCTGAGCATGCTAAAAGTATCTGTTCCTTCTCATAATGCTCTAACAGAATCTTCTTTTTTTCCAGCAACACAACTGCAAATTGCTTTTATGCACTTAAATTATAGCTGAGGATGAGAAAATCAGGAGAACTGACTCTAAAAAATTATTAGGTAAGAGGACTTAACAGTCTCTCTTGGAAAGCTGAGCTATAGTAAGTTGGCCTTTAAATAAAAAAAAGTAATGATTAGTAGACAATAAGCCTCAGTTTCTTCTGACAAGCTAGGATAGATTTCCAACTCCCAAGCTAGGATAGATTTCCAACCCTCAGGCCCATTTTCACTTCCCAAATTTGCAATTCCCTAGACCATTACTGGGAAACCTTGAATTTATCTAGAATGAAAGAAATGAACAGACTGACATGGATGTCAATTACTTCCCATCTGCAATTTCAAGAATAAATTACAGTATAGTTTAAAGCACATGATTCAGTCATGCTTCATCCCACTGTCACACCTGTCCTTATTTTAAAACACAGCAAAAAAACAGAGGCAGTGAACTTATCTTGGCCTCAATACTACATTTCCATTGCCATGTTCCTATAGTATCATGAAACCGTAATGACCTGGGTATTTTTCACTGAAGGAAAATACAGTTAAAAGAAGGTCATATTCTGAACTTAAAATGTGAAGACTTTCCAGGTCTAGTTTTTATAAAAAATTTTATAAATAAAATGTCGAGACTGAGTGACTATTTTTTTAGCTATTTCCTTCTCAGTTAAAGCAAACATATTCTCTGCAATAATCTTTCTAAATCTTGTAATGCATATCTGAAATATTAAGTTTTCCTCACAATACTTAGCCAAGACATTTTTACCACCTTTTAACTGAAAAAGCGAAGCTTTATTTTTACTACAATGTAGGGTGTCATTGTATTTCTTCTGGAGTTGATTCTCATGGGATAGGTTTTAGGCCCCACTGGATTGACTTCTCTACCCTTGCCCCTCAGATTTTGTCTCCGCCTCAACCCCAACTGTAGAAGGATGGACTGTTCCAAGCCCAACAATCACCAGTTCATTTAGTCTGAAAACAGTTGAATCCAATCTGCTGACATACTTGTGCAATTCCAGAAAACAAACCTGGAATAATAATAGTTTAAAAAAAAAGAGCTGCTTACTCAATTTAATTTTATTTTCATCAACCTCAAGTTTTTAGCTAGAATGTTTTTTGATGAGTTCATGAACTGCAATAATTTCTGGGCAAAAATAGTCTCTTGCAGAGAAGACAAGGAAGCAGTTGCAGCTTATTATTGGAAATATTCCTGACTCACTCCCTAGCAGAGCCTAGGCCAAGATCAATTAAACGCAGTACAGCCACATCAAAGCCAAATATACAGAAAGTGGGAAATTGCTAATTCTCACCTTTGCAGTGAATCAATTTCTAATCACCCCAAGTCCTCTCAGTCTTGCAGTCTCACTTGAATGCAGTTTATCTCCTAAAACAAAACATGGAACAGAAAGTCTTAAAGGAGGCCCGGTTTATCTGGTTTAAAGTACAGTGCTGAGTGTATCCAGAGGAGCAAAGGGCAGTTTCAGGTTCGCAGGCACCTTCCAAATAAAAGTCAAGGGAGCAGGAATATCTCCGCGTGTGCACACTCGAGGGAGTCCGAGGGCATGTCCCTGATTCGTTGTCCGTTAGCGGGTCTTGGGGTTTGCAAGTCCTTGAGTGACGTTGTGAGCAGCAGGCTCTTGGCCTGTAGACGTCCTGTGCCCGTTGTGCAAGGGGGCTGCAACCCAAGCTGGCTCGATTCCTCCTTCCACGTCTCCAGGCCCGCCCCTTCCCTCTGGCAGGACCTTTAAACCCCAGGCACCGGGAGCTGGCCCCGGTGTCTTCGCCACCCCCTCGCCCCACTCCGTCCCCGGCGGCCTAGCCAACACTCCTCTGACCCGCGCCAGAGCTCACACGCTCCCCGTCCCCTGGCGGATGCATTCATTCGGCCTCACTGCGAGTCCCCGCCGCCTGAGTTCGCTGTACACGCCCAAATCTTCATCTCACACCCTTCTTTGCATTCAGCTCCCAGCTGCCGCACGTTTTCTTCCTCTCACACTCACCACTCAGTCTTCTACGCGTCCTTGCAGCCTGCCACCGCTCGAGTTTCCTCCCTGAGTGCAGACCCGATCTTCCACTTGTCACTGCACCCAACTTCCCCACCGCCCAATTTCTCCCTCCCGGGCCCCAAAGCGGGCCTTTCTATACATCCAAGCATCCAGCACCCTTTCCTCCTCATTTCCTTTTCCCACGGCCAATACCTAGATTTGTTCCCTTCCTTGCACCCAGGCCTCGCCGCTAAGTTTCTCCCTCATACCCAAGATCTGAGCTTTCTTCCTCTTCCTCATTCCAGCCATCTGCAGAATTAGAGCCTCCCCCAGCAGCCAGGGGCTGGGGCCAGGGCTGGGGTCCGGGCCGACACCGCCCCTCGGAGCCCGAGGTTACCTGCCGGGGAAGGTACGCCGGCGGGGAGCAGGGAGCGCCACAGCCACTCTCACGCTTAAACTCATACGCGCACAGACAGGCAGTCCCAACTGGGCCCCAAGCTGCTTTGGCTTCGGACACCGCCTCTGCAGAAATCCTGAACCACAGGGGAGGATCAGGGCTGCTCCTCTTCCAGGCGTTTGTCCCCTCCCAGATACCGCCCCCTCAGCCCACCTCCCGGAGCCCCGCCCCCTCCGCGCCGCCAATCGCCGAGCGCCCTCTCCGCCGACGTGGGCGGAGCCAGGGTAATGGGCAGGGCCGGGAGCAGCTCTCCCAGCGCCCCTGCGGGAGGAAGGGGCTATCCGGTCCCGGGATTCCGCCCTGACTCTCGTCAGCGGAGGGACGCATATGCCACCTGCAGGCGGGGTGTGGGGCGCACTGGGGCAGACAGACGGTGGCAGTCGGCGGTCCCCTTCCTGGCGCGACTGGAACCTGCCTTTGGCAGAAGAAAGATTGCTCCCGGCGAGCGTGGGTTGCGTTGGGGGCGTCGGCGCGGCTACAAAGCAGAGGATGCAACAGTTGCAAAAGCAGGCATGCCATCGTAAATAATTCACGCCACCAATGACTAGGTCTTTAGGGTTTCTGTACCTATAATTCCAATTACTGCTACGTACTATAAATAAACCACATTCGTCATTTGCGTTAGAAGATAATGAAAGGGATCATTATCTGGGGAGCAATGAAGCTGGACTAGAAATGTGAAGCCTTAGAAAACGGTGGATTTGAAAAAAATTCCTCTCTCCAGAAAATGATTTTTTTGTGTATTCTTTACTCTTGAAAACTTGAAAAAAGTATTTTATATGGTGGTTTGTAGGATAATAGCATACTTGTATATTGCTGCTCAGGATTCAATGCTCTAAAATTTATCTTTAAAAATTATCTCTAGCATTGGATTGTTTGTTACATTACTCTTCGAAGGTAAACTGGTATGCAGAGCACTACTCAAGGTGCACTTTGGCCGCTAGAGGGCACTGGTATTTTTACCAAGAAAAGAAGAAAGTAGAAACCTACCAATTTAGTTTTTCAGATGGATTAAGGGACATTAGCAGCCACGTCCATTTATTCCGGTAGAGATGATTAAAGAGGTCAGTGAGCTTTTATTTTTATCTCGATTCTCAGGCCCTAAGTCACCTGAGATTGTAAATTTTACTTTATATCATATTGGGTTTGCATTTTCCCTTCCCCACTGCTAAAAGTAAGCATTTATACCCATTCATGTTCCTGAAAGGATTTAGGGTAGTTATCCAGATACATAGAATATAGCATGATAAAAAACACTGATTATAGAAGAAAACGAGGTAAAAAGGACTAAATATAGGATACTACGGAGAACCAAGGCAAATTTAATCACAAGATATACTCTATTGAATCCTAAACACTTGCTAGAGATGGCTGCAAATTTGACTTTAAGCCAGTGTGGTAGAAAAGGTGGCACTTATGGGAGTCTCAACATCTGAACACAGTTTCCTAAGCCAGTAATGTAGGAACTCCTTTCCCACTAAAAAGTTTTTTAGGTAGATCCCTAGACTTAACATATTAAAATATTACTATAGATATGCATAAAACTAGATATATGCTCCTTAGGCTGATACTGCTTATATAACTATAAAATAAATTTATAGACAAAATGATTAGAAAGAAAACTAGAAAACAACACATTATCATTAACAATGTCAAATCAATTAAATGTAACAAATGATGTTTGTCAGAAACTAAATTAATTCTTAAAATGTGAATATGAAGCTCACTGCTTACATGCAGGTTCTTTTGAATTTACCTAGCCTATTCTACCAGATGCCATGTGATGATTTATTTAGCCTGCCACTCTTCTCTATTTTGTTACTATTGCATACCTTGACATCATTTGTCTTTCATTTAACTGATAAAAGAATCTGAATATTTCAATACTATCTGGCCCCAAATACTGTTGTAAACACAAATGGAAATATGGGCCATGCGATTTCTGTTAGTGTTTGATTATGAGATAGTCATTCAGATAACAGAGGATTCTTCAAAATATTCTAAGGTGGTTGTATTTTCATTTTGATGATCTAAAAAATGAGGTACAATGAACAGAGCTTGATCACTGATTGTCCATGAAGAATATGGGAGAGAGAACAGTGAAGAGGATGTCTGGATTTGAAGTATGGGCAACAGGGTACATTTCAATAAGGAAGGGATATATATAGAGTCACAGATTTGATGGCCAGTGTAATGAGTTAAATTTAAGATTTGTTAAATTTGAGATGCCTGAGGAACAGCAAGGTGGAGATGTCCAGGAGGCAGTTAGCCACATGTATCTGCAGTTCAGAAGGCGTGTCTGGGCTGGAGAGGGAAATCTGAGTATCTTCAGCTGTATTGATAGTAATTGAAGACATATAGTATATATCATTTAGGACTACAGGGTAAGAATAAATGTCTATCTCAGCAAGAACTTTGAGGGACACTTACATCTTTAAGGGCCAGGTGGAGGAAAAAGAGCCCCCCAAAGAGAATGCAAAGGAGTCTGGGAGGTAGTAGAAGAATTAGAAGAGCATGATATCATAGAAGCCAACAGACAAAAAATTTTATTTATTTATTTATTTGGGACAGAGTCTCACCATGTTGCCCTGGCTGGTCTTGAACTCCCGGCCTCAAGGGATCCTTCTGCCTCAGCCTCCCGAGCAGCTGGGACTACAGGCATGCGCCACCATGCCTGGCTAATTTTTTCTTTTTTTAGTAGAGATGGGGTCTCGCTCTTGCTTAGGCTGGTCTCGAACTCCTGAGCTCAAACGATCCACCTGCCTCGGCCTCCCAGAGTGCTAGGATTACAGGTGTGAGCCACCATGCCCAACCAACAAAAAAGTTTTAAATAAGAGGGAGTACTATGGAGAGATCAAAAAAGACAGGGCCTGAAAATAATTTTGGCAAGTAGGAGGACCTCTTGAGTACACTTTTATTAGAATGATTCTATGAGAATGATTCTGATAGAAGCCATACTATAGGGAATTGAAGTGTGTATGGAAAGTACGGAAAGGGAGACAAGAAACCTTTTCAAGAAGGTTGATTGTGAAGTGAAGAAAAATTACTTTATCAAGTCTTAGTCAACATAATTTTTGATGACTACATAATAGTCTATCATTTGTATTACTTCCATGTCATTTGTGTTGGTTAGAATGAATTTGATTGTGTTACTTTCATGTCATTTGTGTTGGTTTGTGTTGGTTGTTTCCTTTTTATTTCTTTATTTTATTGTGTAAATGGCTGTGATAAACATCTTTATCTTTTTTTTTTTAACACTTAGATCAATTCTTTAAATTGCTAGAATTGGAACTATTGGATCAAGGAGTATAAACATTTTTAATGTGCTTGTTAGATCTACCAAATCATTTTATAGGAGGGATATACTAATTTATATTTTCACATGCAGTGTAAGAAAGTGCTAATTTCATTGCATCCTAGCCAGAATTGATTTTCATAATTTTTACAAACATTTTTGCATTCCCTACTCAAGGGAACCAAGGCTCATTAGAGAACTGATTGATTCTAGGCTTGGGGTAGGGAAAGTTCAAGATGAGCTTGTTGAATCAGAAAGTAAGGAAGTTGGGGAGGAGGGAATGAGTAAATTCCAGAAACTCACCCAGAACTCCTCAAAACTGCAAGGTCATAGAAAACAAGGAAAGACTGGGAAACTCTAACAAACATATGCAATGTGGGTTACCCTGGGTTGGATCTTGGAACAGAAAGAGGACTTTAATGGAAAAACTGATGAAATAAAAATAAAGTCTGAATTAAAAAAAAAAAAAGAAGGTAAGGAAGTGCTCTCAACAAATTAGGTACAGCAATCTGTCATGGGATTAGAGAAACAACAACAACGGCAACAAAAAGCCCCAACAAATTAGATATAGAAGGAATGTACCTCAATGCAATAAAGGCCACATATGGCAAACCCACAGCTAACATCATACTTAATGATGAAAAGCTGAAAGCTTTTCTTCTAAGGTCAGGAACAAGACAAGGATACGTATTTTCACCACTTCTATTGAATGTGGTACTAGAAGTCCTAACCAGGGCAATGAGGCAAGAGAAAGGGATAAAAGGCATCTAGATTTTAAAGGAAAAAGTTAATTTGTCCCTGTTTTCAGATGACAAGATCTTATATATAGAAACCCTAAAGACCACCAAAAAGCTAGTAGAATACATGAATTCAGTAATGTCGCAGGATATAAGATCAATATAGAAAAATCAGTAGTGTTTCTGTATCCTAACAACGAACTACCTGAAAAAGAAATAAAAAAAAATACCATTTACAATAGCTACAAAAATATTAAAATACATAGGAATAAATGTAACCAAGGAGGTGAAAGACCTGAACACTGAAAATAAAACATTTATGAAAGAAATTGAAGACAAATAAATGAGAAGACATCCCACATTTATCGATTGGAAGAATTAGTATCGTTAAAATGTCCATACTACACAAGTGATCTACAGATTCAATGTAATCTCTATCAAAATTCCAATGACATTTTTCACAGAGAAGGAAAAAAAAAAAACTAAAATTTGTAAGGAATGAGAAAAGATTCCAAATAGCCATAGCAATCTTGAGCAAAAAGAACAAAGTTAGAGTCATGATATTACTCGACTTCAAAATATACTACACAGCTATAGAAATCAAAATAGCATGGTACAGGCATAAAAACATATACATAAACCAATTGAAGAGAATAAAGAGCCCAAAAATAAATCCACCAGTTAACAGTCAATATTGATTTCAATAAGGGCCAAGAACACACAATGCG